TAATCCGATATTGTTCGACGAACGGCGAGGGAAGAAGGGAAGACTAGAATCGAAATGTAACGAGCGCTTGATGATATTTCCACTGCACAACGTTTGCATTAAAATGGAATGCATCGATCGATCGAACGATGGTGCATGTATAAGTACGTAATGCGCGAACACGCGCTCGCTATTTGACGATTGAAATGAGCGGGACGACGACGAGTAGGAGGGGGGAGGATTTGTGGAAAATTGCCGATTTTATTCGACTACCGATAAACGAAATAGAACATAGCTTTCCTTTATCTTGCTAAAATACAGATCAACCGACCGTCCAACAATGGAACAAACAAATAGATGGGGAGAGGGGGGGGAAAAAAAAAAGGAATGGGGAAACGCCGACGCTTTGGCGAACACCGACGTCAATTTTCGCGTAATAGCGAACTCGATATTTCGGATGCATTTGTTCATCCGTTCCGTTTCGTCAAATGGCGAACACAATCGGCGATAGATTCGCGCGGCGCGTTGCGAAATTTAGCGAGCGCTGCGTAGTTCCGCGAAACTGAATTCCAGAATGCTTGAATGTCTTTTAAATTCGACAGATTCAAACCATTGAGAGCAGCTGCAAGGGACGTAGCGAGGGAAGGAAATTGGACGAGACCGTGTGTAGCTGTTTTCTTGCCGCGGGTTCGTTAGGATCGGTAGAGATGTACGCGCAGGCGAGATTTAAAGATAGATTCGAAAGCGAAATCAGGTCAGGGTACATGCTCGCCGTCCGTTCGCGTCCCATGGAATCCGTCGGTAAATCGGCGAAAACGCGTCTACGTCAACGATGAGAGGGACGTCGTCGCCACGGGCCGTGTTCGCTTTTAATTGCAAATGATTTCAAAACGAACGGTCGACCCGAATCGCGGAGCTGGTCGAACCAGCGAGTCCGAGTCATCGAAGAAAAAAACGTGGATGCATACATAAATTCCGTTCTACTCAACGTTCCGCGGAAGTTCATTTTAACAATGGATCAGCAAAAGATCGTTTTACACGTGGCAAGGAAAATGGTAAACGTAACGCATAATACCGTACCATCAATTTTAATACTACTCTGAATATGCATAAGTGGCTGCATCACTGATTACGGAGAACTAAATCTCTCCGTCGGTTTTTCATTTCATAATTCACCCGAATATGGTGTAACTATGTTCCTAAACACGTTTAAAAGTAAGGCGTCGAACGTAGATAGAAGCGAAACGATCGATCCATCGCTCTCAGACTTTCCGCATACATTAACATCGAGTGGTTCAAACAAAAAAGAAACTAGTATACAGGAGAAAAAGAGCGAGAGAGAGAGAGAGAGAGAGAGAGAAGGAAAAGAGGGTAACGCGCGATGAAGAGAATGCCGGTGAGAGAAGGAGTTTGACCCCACTGTTTACAGATGCATTTTCGATTTTGTCTCGCGCGAGGTGCGCGAGCATCCAGTTCGCGTACAGGCCACTCCAGACTTCGCCAGTAATTCAGTAATGGTCTTACGACGAAGTTCGTAATAACTGACGCGAATGAGAGGGCCTCGTAATTAATGCATACGTGCATACTGATGAATAAAATAAGAGTAACGGCACGGGTGGAATGGGAACAGAACGAGAGAGAAACACAGAGAGAGAGAGATAGATAGACAGGGATTAGGTGGCCCGATGAAGGCGGGTGGAGATACGTTAGCCTGTGCCGAGCTGGCGCGACCTTAGCACCTGGGAAATACCATATTGAAAGCCTCCCACAAAGCAGTGAATCAACCCTGTTAATTTGTTAAGTGTAAAGCGAATCAAATCAAATGGTTTCGGTAACAGTTATATATATATATATATACATGCATGTAATGCCAGAGGAGTTAAGCGCAGATAGAATTTCGACCTACCACAGAGACCGCCTATAAATTATTTCGTCCTAATCCCGAGCGGACAGAACAGAATTCGCGCATTGACCGTTCACAATATCTCTCATTCAACGTTCTTCGTATTTTATTCTCGTACCAACTCGCATTCAGTTGTACGTAATAAAATGTTGAATAAACGATAGAAATGCTTTTGCACGTCTTGGTCGTCTGTCCCTTCGAGTCTCCAAGATGAGATCAGTCGACAACTTCTAACCGTTCGATCAATATAAATGAGCAGGTATAATGTATACAACGGAATGTGACTGGCGGGTCAAAGTATGATCGAAGAAAATGATTCATCGCGGAAACTCTGAATTAAATAATTTCCGAAGGGAAAAATATTCTCGATTATTTTGATGCACGATGGATTTAATATGAAAATTTAGCTAGTGGGCATTTCGTGCCTCCATGAGAAATTAACGATGATAATTATAATGAACCTGCTATAATTCGACGTTAAATGATTTCTTTCATAACGATGCTAGTTATCATTAGCCTACGATCGTAATATTAAAATAATTATATTACAGTCTTTTTTTTATCAATAGTTGTTTACGATTTATGCAGTTATAACGAAACTGTATTAAAACAAATCAGAATATCGAAAACCGAATGAAGAAACAAATGTTTATTTAAAAAACGATTCGCAGGTGTAATGACGACTGTTTCGGCCGAGGCGATTCGAGGAATGATCGTGTAACCGATTATTCCCGTCGCCGGGGAACGTGCAACGTAAGGAAAAAACTGGTGCACGGAGCAACGAGAGGGAATGCAATATCCCGGAACCGCATCGACTCCCGTTCGTAACCCGGGATTTGATGCAGCCGCGGGATAAAACGTGATGCGGCCACGCGGGGACGATTAATTCTCGCCGTTTTACCGGAATCCTCGGGTCGGTCTCACGTTTTCGGAAGCCGCGGGTCGAAATTGAATTCATCACAAGCGAGGACGGATCTCGCGGTGTCCGAGGCCACCGCGAATGAACAATTCATTCACCGATGGAAGTATTAAAGCAAGCTTATACTCGTGAAAACGCTTGATTCTCAGATGAAAACCGTCTTACGCCTGGCACGTTACGTTGAACAAACGAAGTTTTGTTTGGTTCACTTTATGACTGGATATTGTTCTTAGGGAACGTCGTAGCCGCAACGGAAAAAGGAGAGTACGTATCGCTGCGCTTTCGCTGTATACACGAGTTTAGCTTGTCTTTACGAAAGTTTCGTAAAGGACGAAAACAAGGGAAAAAGAAGAAGGAATTTTCCCGAGCGGCGTCGTTATGCTCATTCAGAGTTTCCGTGATCGTATCATCATTTTTAACGCTCTTCAGAAGAAAGTACGTACTTTGTTAAGCACGTATCTGCCGCGTTGTTACCCGATGTAAAATTGTGTACACGGAAAATCGACGATCCTTAAACGAGTGGTGAAACGTAACGCCGCCGTCGCCGCGGCGCTTATGCAAGTAAAATGAAATTAATCAACCGTTAATACACGCGCGGAGTACAAGCCGGGCGGAAATGTCTCGTAAGGGAAATACGATCGTATAATCCACTGCAACTTAATGACGGTTGGTATGTAATTCCGCTCTATTGATATCCGATATAATATTTCGAATTCTCCCCGTTGAAATGTTAATAAAATAGAGCCGCGCGCCCGCGTCGGATGTGGGGCCAGAGGGTCGCGTTAACGCATTCAGTATTGGAACCCGTAGAATAGATAGTGCAGCACCGATATACAATTTCAATAAATTTGACGGCCAGAATACCTGATGACAGACGAATCTCGCGATCGACCGAGGACGCAGCGATGCGTTAGGATAATGAAATCATTTTATCGCCATTCGGCTAAAGAGTTCATTGGTTACTCGTTTACCAAAATTTCCAATTACAGTAGTTCCGATTAACATCGCGTTTTCCTGGCACGCTGTGGTTCCAGCGTAGTTAAATAAACATGGCAAAAGTGGCTCGAAAGACAATTATATAAAAAAGAAAACGAGAAAGTCTACCTATTTTTTCTCCTGCTTCGTGGGACATCATTATAATACACATCCTAATTTCTACTAAGTGATTCTTCATTATTTTATATGCAATTTTCAATTAGTCAGCATGAGTTGTGTGACTTGAACAGAAATTAAGACGTTACGACATTATTCCTTTGATCTTTGCACCACCGCGATTAACGTGGAGATATGCATTTGAATTACGAAACAGTATTTCATGTCTGTGACGTGACTACCGAGCACTCAGCGACGCAATGAAGGGAGATATCGACTTTTTTACTTGAATGCTAATTGCCAACGAATGCTCTAGAGTCTACACTCTAAAATATAAGATCTACTCGTATACCTCGACTGATTTCCAGATGATGGAAATGAAAATTACTACTTTCGACGTTTGTTATAATCTCTCGTTTGTCAACGAATGGTAAAATATTTCAATACCTTCGAGAGATACGTCTTCTTACCATTTGTAACCTAATAATTCTTGATGTACACAATAAAACAGGCACTTTTACAAAAGGCGGGATTCTAACTTTGTTCCTTCTGTCGCCATTTTTGTTTCACTTACGTGTTAAATTAAACGTATATTATAGTAGACTCGCGCATATCGCGATTGGTACGAATTCGTATTATGCCGGATAGCCCGGAGTCTGTGTGTGTGACGAGAATCCATTTTGTACGGTAGATCGTTGTTCGGATAATATAATACTTGGATATTCGGATAAATTAATAAGATACCAAACGAGATCGGAATAAACGAGATTGAAATAAACGAGATTTGAATAATATAAATGATAAACTGTAAACCATGTTCGTAGTAGTTGACGAAGATAGCAGCACTTACCGGCGTCAAAGTTCCGTTCCAAATGATCAGTTCGGGTAGACTTGCTTTTACGCCACGAATAAGATTATCTAATGACTTTACGACTTAATTACATGAATTACGTATGACTATTTCACTATGCGACTATTTAATATCCTGGAAACACTTCACAACACGTCTTGTCGGTCCGGTGTCCAAGCGGGATGAGCGACGATTCGAACGCAACGGTGCAGTGATGCCAACTTACTCTCTCCCCTTCTTAATTCTAGTTCCTAGTTACCACGGTTAGAAACTTCTAGTCGTCGACGTTTATCAACGTCGATCGTTCGTGTATTTCTCAGGCTCTTGTATGAATTGTTATTGTGTATAAATAAATCAAAATGATTTTATCTTCGTTACAATTAACAACGAAGAACTTGGCAAAGATCGTCATTTTGCCAAGTATGAAACTTGTATCCCCGTGTTCGTTGTTGACAAACGCTCGAGGTCTTCATACAACCCATAATGTTATGAAAAAATTGCGTGTCGGGGATCAGGCAATAAGGCCTCTTCCGATAGGGAAAAATGTGATATTGGAAGGAGAATTATCAACTGATATGATTACACCCGAGCAGTACGTATTTTCTCTCACATTCTTTATATGCACGATTTTTATTTCACATTCTATTTCATTACCACTAATTTCGTACTTTGACTATGTTTGTTCATTCAGGTCCCTATTCCCAGATGCTACTACACCTTTTCAGCTGTTTGACAATGTGCCATACAGTGAATTACATATTCTGAACATAAAGTCGACTCGTAATAATACAATATTCACTCTCACTGATGCCAAAGGTATGTACGGTGGATCAAATATTGTATCATGCATGCAGATATTGAAAATTTACAGACTATGAAAATAAATACATGGAATTTCATTTTTACAGGATTAGTAAGTATGCTGCACACAGCTGGTATCGAAGGGTTTAAGAAGTCGAAGAAGGGTACAAACATCGCTGGTCAACAGACTGCGATAACATTTGCAAACGTAAGAAGTTTCAGTACTGTAATCATTCATATTCATTATATTTAATAAATAATGTATAACGATTATGTTTATTACAGCGTATCCTTGAATCAGGCGTTACAAATGTGAGACTGAGGATACAAGGCATTGGACCTGGTAGAAGTGTAAGTAATGGGAAATATGAATTGAATTTTTCATATGAAATACATTTATTTAACGTGTCTCTCGATTTTCACAGGGTGCTATTAAAGGTATTGAACTAACGGATTTGAATGTGGTTTCTATCACGGACGACACTAGGGTTTCATGGAATCCTCCAAGACCGAGGAAACCGAGGAGAATATAATTTCTACAAGTTATTCTAATATATTTAAGTTAATAAATTAATACTGAATCCTTTATTCATTTATCAACACTTTGCACTTGATTTATTTTCTATAACAGATTTGTATCGTCATCTCCAGCGCAGAGGATGAAGTTACTTCGATTATTTACAATATTTATGCTACGCATATTGACTAGATGAAAGTAGTTTATAAATTATTTACACTAGGTTTTACTTATTACGAATTAAATACTAACGTGATCACAATTCTCCCAATGACAATTTACCAATAATGATAAAATGTAAATTCTTAGCGAGTAATAATATTATGTACGCAGACTTTATAGAAAATCGGAGGCTAAACTCGAAGCTCAGCATGCGAGTTTCTATTTATCGGAACACGTTCTGCGTGATCCAAGGTATGTATTCCGACACCCGGGTATATACACCTGGAAGCCGAGGCCTGGCGCATCCCACGCCCGATGAAACGATGCCGACGACCATTAACTCATCGCTCCTGGGATTACTTCCGACCATTAAAGGCCCGCCACTGTCGCCCTTAAGAAGAAATACATACAACATGAAGAATACTCCGAGCGTGACACGACGGATCCGCTTGAAACGCCGTTTAACAAGATCGCGTTATAACAAATCAACAATATTTTGTCAAACCTTTTTCACGATTTCATCACATTTTGTTCTCTCTAGCTATTTTATGGTCGAAGGAAGTCGTTCGAATCGGAGAACTGATTCAATCTCTGGCCGTTAATTCAACACGTGCTCATACTATCTAACTACAGGTTGGTTATTGAAATTCATGTCGCGGTTATTCGACAGAGCGTGAATTTCATGTATGTATATATATATGTACAAAAACACGAACGATACGCGAACGCGGTGCCTAACTAGCCGCTGCACTTGAATGGTAAGAGGGTCGATATGTACCGTCTAAACGGGATAGATAGACGACGATAAGGGAACGAGGCTTTCACTTACCCAGCATGAGTCGCGGCCACCTTCTTCGTGGCCGGCGCACATTTGCTTCGGCGCTACTTGGGTCGACTTGCCTTGGCTGGCGTACCATTCGCGGCACACGCTGTTCTCGATCACGCGAACTTCCACTTTCTGCAACACGTCCGCTCGTTTATCTGAAAAAACAAAGTGGAACGGGCATTTGATACGGCCGTCGCGCGTCGTCCCTTGCAGGCACTTCCCCGCGAGCTTCAACGTTCCGTTTCGTGGCTGACAAGAAATATAAACGTCTTTTTCAAATAACTTTGTAGATCACAGCTGATAGAATTCTATTAACGAAGATCGTTTACTGCATATTCTCTTTTAGTTCACTTGGATAACGAGCCACTTATTTAATCAGAATTTTAATTTCACTAAAAGTTTTACAGATGAACCGAGCCACGAGGTCGTCGAACAAGAATTAGATTCACTCACATTTGGATCTGTCTTCGTTAAACCAACCCCATCCGGCTACCCCAGCGAGCTCTCCGCCGAAGGCGCTATACCCTGGTTTCCCAGTGGCCACAGGTAAACAGGCTGGTTTCACGCTTTCCGACCAAACGATCGGGCTTGCCAGTTCCAAGAGGGCAATATCGTCCACGTACTTCCCGCACTTGTGGTCGGGATGTACAATTATGTTCGAGACCCTCTCTTCTTTCGACGCTGGTATTTCCGGTCCTTTGAGATTATACTCGCCAAGACTGACCCGCAGTTGACCAGCGGAAACCATAGACGTGGCTCTGCGCAAATTATTAAGTATGCATCGATTATTACTCAATTCATAAACGTGACACTTCTCGAAACGCGGTGCTCGAACAGCCGACGAAATTATAGCACCCCCATTTCCCGTCGGCTGTAAATAGAAAAGAGACGGTGATGTTTTGCCCCAGTTTCTTCATCGCCCCGATTCCAGCAATTTGCGGAGAGAGCACAATGATGCTCGCGCTGTTTTCCAAGTTTCAAGGTTCACCTTTTCTTACAAAGATCCCGCTGCTCTTAATGGACCCTTCCGTCTTCATCGTCATAGTTTCATTGTTCGCTTTCATTGTTGCGGATTAAACGATTTTGCACGGATGCATCATCGCCGCTGCCCTCCCCTCTGTCATTATCATCGCGCCCCTTCCAATTAAAGTGTATCTTCAGTTAAACGCGTCAAGGGATGAGAAGTGTGCTTTTTTTTTAATTGGAGACTAATTCATTGCCATCGTAAACACCTCCGCGAAAAGCGTTCACCAAATTGATTTAATTTTGAACAATCTTTACGATTCGCATTTTAAAATGCCTATTATAATTTTTCCCCAGTCCCCGGTTCGTTGCGATACATTAATAAATAATTCCGGTTCGCGCGTAGGAACGCATTAGCGTAATTTATTTCGACCGTTTCCGTGGACGATAAAGAAAACGCGGACAATGGTTCGAGCCAGATATATTTTCACGAGCCCCGCGCCGCTGCCGGCTCGCAACATTTTGTCATGCGTTTTGCATGGCCGCTAGCAATTACCGAGTGGTCTGTAATCTACACGCAATCATGGTTTACAACGCCGAAGCTACGTTGGATTCTCTCTACGACCACCCTCTGTCGGGCTTCAACCCCCCGGTTTCCCACCCAATCTCCGTTCCCTCTCTCTGTCTGTCTCTGCTTCCAAGCTCGCGCCAAGCGAAGCCGGAGAAAGAGATCGTCTACGCGTTCCAGCGTGCAATACTACCTTCGCTCCGTCGTTTAATTACACGTGCATGGACGTTGTTCCATATAAATCTCCGCGAGAAAAAAAAAGGATCACGAATATTTTCGAAAGCCCACTCTCTCGATTTCGTCCGGTGATTGGAAGACTCTCCGGTCAGAACGCTTCGGACGCGATCCTCTTCAAATGAGGATCGCGAAAATTACTTTTAAATTGAATCACTGACTCTCATCCCTGTTTTTCTTTTTTAATACAGATACAAGTAACGTTTTATGTATCTGTGTTAACGTTTCACGTCGACGTAGGGCATCTCTTTCGTCTACGCGTTCCAGCGTGCAATACTACCTTCGCTCCGTCGTTTAATTACACGTGCATGGACGTTGTTCCATATAAATCTCCGCGAGAAAAAAAAAGGATCACGAATATTTTCGAAAGCCCACTCTCTCGATTTCGTCCGGTGATTGGAAGACTCTCCGGTCAGAACGCTTCGGACGCGATCCTCTTCAAATGAGGATCGCGAAAATTACTTTTAAATTGAATCACTGACTCTCATCCCTGTTTTTCTTTTTTAATACAGATACAAGTAACGTTTTATGTATCTGTGTTAACGTTTCACGTCGACGTAGGGCATCTCTGTTTTCTCTATTTTCTACGCGATATACTTTTAATAATAATAATAATAATAATAATAATAATAATAATGTGTGCTCGACATAATCACTAGCGAAATAAATGAAATTAATTAATTAATTGCTGGCGAAGTTTGCGCGTCCCGACGGTAACGGGAAATCATTTCGTTCGTCAATTGTTCGATCAATCGGTTGACAAAAATAGTAGCGAATTTTCTGCGATATCGCTTTTCTTCGTGACATTATTATCCCATCGCTCCTCTCTCGTTAACCGTTCGCGTAAACAATGCAAACGTGTTACCCGAGTGAATTGCGCATTCGATCGACTGTAACCGATTTTCGAGCGACGTTCAATGAAAGGACTTCCCCCCTTATTTACTTTATTTGGTCGCCGTGTTTACGCCGGACAGATAGCCACGCAGTAGTTTTTCATTTACCCGCGATGTTCTTTGTACTTTCAATTTGACTTGCTCGCTCGCCGGAAAAATACGGTCCAGGTTTCATTTAAAATGTAATCGCCGCTTCAATTAACATCCGAACCGCGCGCGGCCCGTGTAACGCGCGACCGCACGGTACCGCGCGGAGTGCAACGAAGACGCACGTAACCGGCCCGACCGTTTTATATAATTTTAACGAAGTGACTGCCAGTTCATCCAGTCGTTGGGCAATCACAAAGCCAGACGGCAAGTCAGAGAAACGCGTACGCTGCTCTCGTTCCAGGAACGCAGTTCGACGTTTCAACATTTTATTTCCTTATACAAATCCGGCGAAAATTATTTTCCTCCGGTCACCCTCGCTCGTAGCTCGTTAATTAATTGCATCGTACTTTCATCAGAATTATTTCTATTACGTGTTTCACTCGAAATAGTTTCGACCTCTTCGAATTATTAAAATGCCATGTCGGCCTCGACCGTCGCGATATTTGACATTTCCAACGAAACCGTATAAATAATTTAAATTCACCGCGAAAGGACAATTGAAATTTACATCGTGTTTATTTTCCGCGTTAAAAAAAGGAACGCATAATTCAGTGCGTGTGTACGTGAGCGTTAAAAATTCCGTCGGGTATTCCGTAAAATTGGAGAATCCCGGGTTGTACAATGCGTAAACTATTTTTACAACGATCGTCGCTGCTACCTCCGATATATTCGACTTTGGGAATACAAATCCGTTGAATGATTACTAAACGCGCCGCGGCAAACACGTATCGGTGCCGTTCGATCGCTCGGATCGGATCAGGATAATTGCGGGCCAGGGTTTGTTGGACAAGACGGTACCTCGCGTTTCGCTGACGTTTCAACAGCGGAGAACGGGGTAGAAAATTTTGGCACACGGGCGCCGCTGTGAACATCGTCCCCGATAAGATCTCGCTTTACCCATCCCCCTTTTCCCCCCCCGGTGCTCGTAGATTCGATTACGGGCAACAATGGGCAGCTTTCCACGAAGAAACAGTCGGTTCTATGCCATGAATATTTTAGACGGCAACCTGCATATTGATTACGCGAATACTGCGTACCACCGGTATTATTGTAAAGAATGGAGGCATAAACTATCCCCCAGTCCGATCGATGTTAACGTCACCCTCCTCTCCACTACCCCTTCTGGTTTTCTTGCGCACCGCGTAATACTTTGAAATTTAGATGCGCCGATATTTTTCTCGTCGCAAGATAACGAGCTCCAGCATCGATCCGACGGTCCATTCCGAATTCATAATTAAACGATGACGTAGAATCAAATAAAATAACAAAATCAAACACTCTACGTATTTGTTCGATCCGTGAATTTATACGCGATTAATATATTATAATTCGCATCGCTTCGTGTCCAAATACCGAATTAATAACACGATTGATTAAATTGCTTATTATTCCATAAACTCTAATGCCAGCGCAGATATTGCGAGAATCCGTACCGATAAATTTATCTCTAAATGTTATTCGTTTATGGAATCAGATCGATGAGATCTTAAGACGAACGTATGAATGATTAGGTACTTACGAGCAGACGCAATGCGCTGCGGTTAAAATGTATCTTGTGTTTAGGATGGTCCCTCCGCAAATGTGTCCTCCCTTTTTGCTGATGCTCACCATCCAAGGAAACTCGTGTGGAAATGCATTTTGTCCACCGACCAGCCTCGCCGTACGCGTCCCGATGTCTCGTCGGCCGCAAGGTACGTCAGCGACTAGTCATGGTAATTATAACATTTCTTAATGTAGGATTGATAAATAACTATGTTGGGATGATGTTAAAATCGACGTAAAATAAAACGTTTAGATGCGAGACAGTAAATGGAACGTTTGGGACAGATTTCCTGATGCATTTTAATTTTTACAAGAAACGTATTTNTATAATAACAAATTGAACATGCTAGCACTGTTTAAGTATACAGCCTATACATCCTTAACGAGTCAGACGGAAATCCCATGGAACATTTTTTATACCTGGTAATTACAGCTATACAAATAACTGATGGGACGAGAGTAGACGATATTTTTTTTGAAAGTGAAAAATTATCTCTCAGTATTTTTTCTGCGTTCCGCTTTTGTTCGCGGCAGGGAGGGGAAACAAAACGTGGGAAAGGAAAGAGGTTTAACTAAACCGCATCTTTGTCGCAATTAAATGGAATTACGAGAACAATTTACAATTAAAGGGGAAATGGTTTCGAAAAGTTGCCGCACTGAAGAATCCTCCTCGTTTCGGTTCCTCTATTTTTCCTTTCTTTTTTTTTTATCCCCCCCTTCCATTAATTGTGCTCGTACATCGGCTACAGTCGCCTTACGCTACCGCCGGCAAAGTTAATTTCAACTTTTATAAAAAATAATTTCCCGGCATGTTCGTTAACAAAAAACGTGAATAACGTATTCACGGTATTTTATAGGAAAATGAATCAATTAATCGTGAGTTGCGGTATTCAATACGAATGTAAATCCTGTTCTGTTTTAATTAAAAACCGTATGAATTCGTACATGACGAATGGACGACGAGCCAGGATCCGTTCATTCCCACAAGAGATGACGATGCATCGAATGTTGCACGCTATGCAATACAAAATTGACTGAGTCGTCGATGAATCGACTCAGAGCCCGGATCGTTCGGCCCGGCCGAGATCCTTGCCAGAGCGTAGGCGGCGATCGGATAAAACCGCGGACGGGACACGTCCAGTCGGCGACGCATAGCGTTTAATTGAAAGCTGAAGCAGCGCGTGCAGAGCGGAATGTTAACCGATTCGAGAGGAACCAGCCCCACTGACGGCACTGGCATCGCGCGAATTTAATGCCCCGAGCAGATAGGGATAGATACGGCGGATCTGTCACCGCAATCCCTGCGACTAGCAACCCTCGCCCACCCACTTTCCGGCCCTCCGTCGAATCCGTCCCCCTTCTCGTTTCCCCTCTCGTTTCACGCCTCGGCTGATTAATTGGACCTCTACGTCTGCACCACCGATCCCACTTACACCGGTTTCGGGGCCCACCCTCCCGCGACCCTGCAGTTCCCAGTCCCCTTTATCTCTACTTCCGCCCTATCCAACGGTGCCTCTTCCCTCGGTCTTCACGTCGACCGAACTCGCGAGAAGAAGACAGAGAGGACAGCCACGGGGGACGAGAGAGGAGGAGGAGGAGGAGCAGTCGGCCAGAGCAGGCATAGAATTCGAAGTCACCTCTATTCGGAAACGCGTAATAGATATGTCAAAACCAGGCCGAACATGGTCACGATAATATGCTGATGCCTTCACTGCGTCATCAGCGACTTCCCTCCAAGCTCGTTCACCCTACTACCACCCCGTCGCTCTCTCGCTTCGATCGCGGTTAGGCCTTTTTCCCGCGATTCGTTTTCGGGCCTCCTCTGCCAGATTACGTATACCTGCACGTGGCATCAAGTCGTTTTAACCCTTTTAGTGCGAAAAAGAATTGCCCATGCGAAGATAACTGGCTGAATTTCATTATTTTAGTAGGGTTTGCAAAAAGGCTCATAAAAATCAAACGAAAAGCAATATTTACATATTTCAAAAAGCAGTGTATTTACCCTTTGTACTCGAGCGGCACGAAAGCTAATTGCAAACTGTAATATTT